GTTATTGAGGTGTTGGAGTGTTCTATAAATTCTAGAGATAAGTCCCTTGTCAGATATGTTATTACCAAATATTTTTTCCCAATCTGTAGGTAGAACCCTTGCCTTTTTTAAATTAACTAAATGAGTAAGCTTTACAGGATAGACCAGACAGCAAGACTGAACCAAGACAGGCAACCGATGTAGTCAAAGTGATCATGTATGAGATTATCCAGGAGAGTCAAATACTGAGTTTTTGATAGAGCCAAATTTGTAATGTAGGTATCCTAACCAGTGGTTTGAGGTACATTTTTGGTTTTGATTCTCTTATTTTAATTATACCATGCTGATTATTTGTAATCGTTAAAGATTGGAAACAAGTGTTCTACTCTGTCATATGGGGTCACTGTGAGTTACAGTCGCCTTGGTGGCACCTAATAATAGTAATTTGCTGTCTAAACTCCAAACTCACTGCCAATCGAGTCAGCTCAGACTCATAGTGACCCTCATTGGGTTTCCCAGGCTATGAATCTTTACGGAAGCAGACTGCCTCATGTTCCTTCCACGGAGCAATGGGTTCGAACCACCAACCTTTTGATTAACAGCCAGATATCTTAACCCCTACACCACCCGAGCTCCCTATAATTTCCTGTGGACAAGAACAAATTTTTGTAAAAAGAAAAATACTCAGTCTTAAATTTTTGAGTGTGGTCATAGGTGAGAAAATGGTAAATCGATTTGGAGATAATTCTTTTTGAGGAATAATCCCAGAATTTCCCTGCTCCTTTGCAGATTAGAGTAGTTTTATCATATGAGTAGGGCAATCCCTGATATTTGTGCTTTTTAAACACAGCGTAGCTGGGTTGTATTTGTTAATAGACTTTTCAGTGCAGAGCTGTGCCTGACATATCACCCACCCCATGCAAAGTTGTAAACCTGCTTACCTCTTCAATAGACTAAAGTGCACCTTTGTGTTCGGTTGAAAGCCGTTTCTTCACTACCATAAAGCACTGCATTAGGTTCAGTAGACTTAGTGGCTGGGTTGGCAGAGTGTACTCCCCATCCTAGAAACTGAGAAATCTTAAATATGCCCTTGGGGTATATGTGTGTATCTTGTTAAGCCAGGAACACACAGGACTTGAAAACAAGGTTTCTGGTTAGGTTTAAATACAAAACAAAACCTGTCAAACACTCTTATTTACTAATAGTATTGCAACACATTAAATCTCTGGTTTAGGTTTGTTTTGGATCACGGCTGAAATTATGAATGGCTTGATTCTCTCAAATATCAGATTTACACTCTTGTCTCACTCATACCGGTCTGAACTCATGAGAATGTCAGGGATGATCTCAAAAGACATCCAGATTGTCATAAGAGTTACTTTCCATACTGATATTGATTGGAGTCCAGGCTATGAAGTCCATTTTAGGTGACATTAAACATATCAAGTTTCCATGCTTTTACCACCTTTTTTCTATTCAACATTTCAACATAACATTTATTTAAAAGTCTATCATGAGCCAGAGGAGCTCTGGTGGCACCATATGACTGCTAACCAGAAGGCTGGTAGTTCAAATCCACCAGCCCGCTCCTTAGAAGGAAGATTGGGCAATCCTACTTCCGTAGAGACACTGCCTTGGAAACCCAAGGAGGGGTCGCTATGAGTTGAATTGACTTGACAGCAGTGAATTTGGTTTGTTTTTTGGTATTATGAGCCAGAGTCCGTAGGGGTGCCAACGGTGAAGTGGTCGACTATTAGCAAAAATGTTGGTGATTTGAAGCCACCTCGAGGTGCCTTAAAACACAGACCTGCCAGTCTGCTTCCAAAAAGTCACAGCCTTGAAAATTCTACAGAGCACAATTCTACTTTGCCTGCAGAAGTTCACCATAAGTCAGAATCAACTTGGCAGCTAACAAAACAGTAACACTGCTGTTGTTTGCATGCCATTGAATTGGTTCTGACTCATGGCAACCCCATGTAACAGATTAATTTCTGAGTATAAAGTGGATGTGGTTGGTAGGAGATGAGGCCAGAGAGGTTGGAGGGGTGCCATGAGATTAAAAAGCTTTATATTACCATGGATAGGATTTAATCTGAAAAAAAAAAAAAAAAAAAAAAAGGTAGGGCTACAGAAAGTGAATAGGAGTTAACAAATGTAGAGAAAAAAATATGAGTTCCTAATAGAAGTACCCCAATAAATATTTTGAAAATACTGTTCTCCCACTATTTTCTGCTGAACAAATCACCATCCAGGTAGGATCCTGCAGTCTGAAATGGTGTTCTTTCCTGCTGTTTATCCCACCAGGCCTAATAAAATTCTGCTTAGCTGCTTTTTTATTTGGATATAAAACTTACTGGGTGATATTTTCTCAAGTCCCTTTATTGTGCTTCCTGAAAATGGAAGGAATATGCCCATGAGTTATTATCAAACACCGTATTCAGTACTATTCTGTTCCTTCAGATACAATCAGTCAGCAAGAAATTGATGTTTTTAAATATTTATAATACTGTTTCTCCTGGGTTAGTTTATGATTCTTGTATTCATTTCACAGTGATATATCCATTTCAAAATTATGAAGCTTTCAGATTTCTTGGTTAAATTTTTTAAAAGCTCTGTATTCTGTGTTCAGGAGAAAATATAATGAAAGGAGATAAAGAGTCTATTAAGAATCTTCTAGAGATATTTGATGGGTTGCTGGAGTATCTTACAGAACACATCAGTGAAACATCTCACGAGAAAAGTAAGTATAAGAATGAAAGTTTGGTTTGTTGTGCACTCTGCTATGTCCCTTTTTATATTTTATATTTCTGCCTTTTTTTCTCCCATAATACAGTACACCTGATAAAGTGCACATAATTTAACTGTAAATTTCTAATTCTTATTGTTCCAAGTGGTTGAAAGTTCTCTCTTCTAGACTGTCATGTCCTTTGTTAATTTGGATGTTGCTTATAAATTGCTTTAAAGATAATCTACAATAGAAGGGCTAAGCTTCTGCCTGCAATTATATATTGTCCTATTATCGCGTGTTATTTCTTATTCTCAGTTTTCCTGTCAGAACTCCCATTTATGCTATAAATTTGGATGTTGCCAAAGTGTCAGAAGGAAGAATTTATATATTTTTGTCCTTAATCTATAGTTACGTTTGTGACAGCCTGAATATTCTTTATTTTACTCTTTCCCTCAAATTGTAATAATTGTTTTGTGTGAAATTTTTATTTTATGGTTTTTTTAAATGAAAATTATGAAGATCAGTATTACCATATTATTTTCTAGAAGGGTTATGGTTACTTAAACTGAATCAGCAATGTGTAAGCATTACTTATAATCTTTACCTCAATAAACCCCATGTCTAGGAATTTATCCTAAGGAAATAATAGGAAAGAAAGTTAGGTGCTTGAAGCTCTTCTTTGCAGTGTTATTTAATCACTGGGGGGAAAAAAAGCAAAAGCAAAAAAGCCTACATGTCTCCGCAGTATGCAATTGGTTAAATAAATAAAGCTGTAAGTCATGGATAGACTAATGTATGACTTGTTCTTAGATCATTGTTGTTGGGTGCTGAGTCATAGTGACCCTGTATTTGCAACAGAACGAAACACTGCCCTGTCCTGCACCGTCTTCACAGTTGGTGCTATGGTTGAGCCCGTTGTTGGCATCTGTGGGTGTTGACTGTAGATCCAAGTGAAATGAAGTCCTTGACAATTGTCAGTATTTTCTCTGTTTATCATGATGTTGCTTATTGGTCCAGTTGTGAGGATTTTCATTTTCTTTATGTTGAGATATAATCTATAATGAAGACCATAGTCTTTGATCGTCAGTAAGTGCTTCAGGTCCTCTTTGTTTTCAGCAAACAAGGTTGCCTAGCTTACAGGAAACGTCAGCTAGTGTTAGTAAAATGTTGCTTGGTGAAGTCAGAAATAAGAACAAATGAGGGTGATATTTGAAGAATAAATCCTTAGAAATGGAGGTAGAAATATCCAGAGGGGTGAGTCTGAATCAAAGCAGACTTTCCCTACCTACTTTCTGAAATCATGGCCGCAGCACCACTGCCACTGGTGAATGTGTATATGCCTTGGCTGTGTTGGGATGGAAAAAAAGCTTGATAACCAGTAATTTTAAGGAAAATTTCATCTAAGCTTTGATGTAGTCTGACTTTTAGGCTAAGGCATAACTGTCTTGGAGCTTGAGGTAGGTCGACACAGTCATGTTTTTCTGAAGCCATACTCTAGTCATCTCAATTGATTGTCTCATACATTCCTTACAGATTGACAAAAGGGTATAAAGAATAATAACCGAGCCTAACACGTAAGAAATGAAACACTGCTAATACAATTGTAGACCCTGCTTTTGAAGCAACACTTGTGTTGTTTCTTTGTTACCTAAGAAATACATTCTCATTACAGATGATAATTTGGTTCTTTCTAATTTTACTTTCACAAGAACCCAGTTTACTAGGAGAGGTGAGGGGTGCCTCACTGGCTCACCTCTCCCACCTCCTATATAGAAATAGCAATATTGACTTGAGTTGCTTTTTTTTTTTTTTTCCTGTTGCTGTTTTTATTTATTCTAAACAGGTGAAACAGAACAGCATTTTAAAGAATCTCATCAAGGAGTCATTTTGGAAGAACCAGAAAGTACTAAAGAATCATGGAAAAGAGTTCCCTTTGGAAGGTAGCACTTGATGTCTGCAAGTTTAATTAAAACATGGTGTCCTTTATTTTCTACTAAGATTTAAAATGGCACACAGTATGCCAGAATAGCTGTAAAAAACAAAGCTAAAGTGAAAATTTTACTAACGTCTCATATTCTAAACTTTCCTGGGGGAATTTGAAGAACCTCTGGTGGCTCGATGCTTAAGGCATTTGACTGCTAACCAGAAGATTGGCAGTTCAAACCTAACAGCCACTCTGTGGAAGGAAGACAGGGCAATCAATCTACTTCTGTAAAAATTTGCCACCTTAGAAACCCATTAGGGGTCATATGAGTTGGAATCTACTCAGTGTCAGTGGGTTTTTGTTTTTTTTGTTTTTTTAGGTATATATAATATTTAATTTTCAGCATTAACCAGACTTACCATTTCATTTTTACCTTGATCATCAAAACAGTTCATACTCCTTGCAGAAAACCTAGAAGGTACGGAAAAATAAAAAAAGGAAAGATGAAATTTATCATTCAAAACAAAGTAACTGCTGTTAACGATTTGTAGTATTTCCATCTTGTTTTACTATGTTTTTTCCTTTTTTGGATTTAGTCTTATTGTCTATGTAATTTTATTTCCTGTGTTTTTAAATTTAGCACATCAGGTCTTTTTCCTATGATGTTAAACTCCTGGTAATCATTTTTAATCTATGTGTAACACACCATTCACATGGGTGCATCACAGTTTACAAACCATTTCTCTAAGTGGGGGTTTGTTGTTTCTCTCTCTTTTTTTTTTTTTTTTTACGTTATTAAAAAATGTGGTGAATCCCTTTATTTTTTTCCCTCATCTCATATCTTTAGAGTAGATTCAGAATCAAAGAGCATGGATATTTTAAAGCTATTAATAAAAGTTGCCATATTGCTTTCCAAAAAGGCCCTGGCTGTGTCTACACACACTAACAGTACAGAAGTGTCAGGTCAGCACCCTTGCGAGCCCTTACTGACCAATTTCAGAATGTTAAAATTGGTTCTATTTTCATAGACAAAAATGTTAATGTCATTACTGGTTTGAGATGCACTTCTGTGCTAACTACATATTGAACATGAGGCTATGACCATTTTAAATAGCTGATTGTCAGTATTTTTGTGGAGTTTGTCTTGGTTTGAAAAGCACAGGCAAGGCCTTCTATATTAGGGATTGTCCTTTGTTGAGAAATTGTCTCAAAGGAGACCGTCAAAAGATGCAATTCTTGACTTTATTTTTCATTATTAGATTTTTTTTAAATAACAAAATAAATGCAAAATAAAAGAACATACAAGGGTCTTTAATGCAGAATTAATGTTCTACCCTCCACACTCTCCTTTGCACCCATGCCCCTAGAGTGACCAGCATTTGCCTTTTTTGGGGTGTGTTTTTCTATACGTTTAATCCTTCATGTTTTATACACAACTGTTCCTACCCTTCATAAATGTGCACAGTCTGAACAACCACAGGTGGGCTGCAGGTTGCAGCCCTTGGTGATCTGGTCACAACTGAGTGCGTGAACTCTTCCAGGTGCTCACTGTCATCTGAGGCATTGGGCCCCTCTTGGGATGAAGATGAAGCAGAGTCCACTGGTGAAATAATTAGACTTGGGGATACAGCACACACTTTTTCTCTAAGAAGTAATGGTGAGTAATTGAAACTTTAAATAGCAATTATTGTTACTCAACATACAACTGTGACCTATAATGATTATACTTTGGAGTATTTAATGGTAAGAAGGATAACGTGCTAATGGGGCATCAGAGTTGAAATTCCAAGGGTAACCACAGGGAAGAAGTGGGAGGAGAGCTATTACATTGTGGGGATTAGAACCAGTGTCACAAAACAAATGTGTATGAACTGCTGAATGTAAAACAAATCTGCACTGTACAGTTTTACCCAGATCACAATAAAAAGTTAAAAAATAATTGAAATTCCAGAATACTACCACTAAATAGGAACAGTTATCCAAAATAGAATCAGGTGGGAGTGACAGGCACATGGGCAGTTAAGTCCAAGAAAATAAATGGATGCAAGTTTGCCGTGTAATTAGTGGGACCTAACACCCTATGAGGAATCCCTGAGTGGTGTAAACCGAATGGTTGGAGGTTTGTGTTCACTCAGAAACATCTTAGAGGAAAGGCCTGCTGCTCTACCTTTGAATGGCTTAAAAAAACCAGCTACTGAAAATCATATGGAGCACAGCTCTTTTCTGATACATATGGGGTCTCCATGAGTCAAAACGATTCAGTGGGAACTGGTTTTGGTTAATATCCAAGGAAGAGAATTCTAGATGCAGCTTTGCAGTCTAGTCATGCTTTTGGAGTACCCCTGAGTGCAATTTCTTGAACTAGGGTGACTCATGTTGTGGTTTCAGTTGCCAAGTCTTATGTATCTAGTGGCAATTTTCCCCCTAGGTTTCAGGCCACATTTCAAACAGCCTGCTGCTTATACACCTACCTACTGCTGCTGAGTCAAGTCTGACTCTTAGCAACCTTATAAGGCAGGGTAAAACTGCTCCATAGGGTTTCCAAGCCTGTAAATCTTTATGGAAGCAAACCATTTCATCTTTCTCCTGTGGAGCAACTGGTGGGTTTAAACCTCTGATCTTTAGGTTAGCAGCAGAATGACTCAACCACTGCCCTACCAGAGCTCCTTGCTTATACACAGTAGACCTAAATATCTTTCAGGCCCCACTTTGGAACCTCTGCCTTTGCCCCTCCTCCAACTACCCCACTCCCTGACCTGCCCACCAGGCCTGTTACGCTCTTCGCTGGCATCATATTTCTCCCTCTGCTGGGACGCTCTCCTCCTTTCAGTCCCCGGCAAACTTACTCTCCATGCCTGGCCTTCTCCACCTGCCTCAGGCTCTGGGCTTTGGGGTCCCACAGTATGGCCTTCTCCCTTTATTTTTCTAATACAGTTTACAGATTAGATGGTACCTTACAGTTTGTGTGATGTGTAAACTGAGTTGTAGGGACAGTAGGCACGCCATACTCATTCAGCAAATGTTTATGGAACACCTTCACTGTGCCAGGCAGTGGTGATACTGTGGTGAACAAAACACACATAAATCCCCATTCTTATGGAGCTTACGTTGATTTGTGGAGGCCATCAATATATCAACAAGATAAATAAATGAAATACATGGTATAATTATTCAGTTGATGGTCCCCAAAGTTAGGAAAACACCCAGCCCACAATAAGTCTCTATTTTTAAGGTGGAAGAATGAGAATACCAGAGTGGAATTAAATACATAAAAGTGGAAATCGGATTACCTGCATTCTGGCTGTGTGACTTTGGAGAGGCCCCTCTTTCCTGAGCCCCAATTTCTCCAAGTGCAGATGAGAGAGTTAGTAGAAGTAATTAGTATTTCAAGCAGCCTGACCAACATGCTCTCCTAATTATGTCATTCGTGAAATTTTTGCCCCCTAAGTACAAAAACACTAAGGAGCTCTGGCGGCACAGTACCTGAGGCATTTGACAGCTAACCAGAAGGTTGGCAGTTCAAACCCACCAGCCACTCCATGGAAGGAAGATGGGGCAGTCTACTTGTGTGACAGTTTACTGCCTTGGAAACCAAGTGGGGGTCCCTATGAGTCAAAATCGACTCGATGGCAGTGGGTTTGGTTTAAGTACAAAACACTAGGCTGCCTGTTGAACAATCAGCAAACTATTGTGATAGTGTTTTTTAAATTTATCTTTCATATTTTCTAGGTGCCCAAGATTCTAACGAAATGCTATCTAAAAAAGCCCCATCTTCACCAAGTTCTAAAAACCATGAAGTGTTGAACCCACCGTCTAGTTTTTTGTCCAACAGCAGGACAGCCTTTATGGAAGACAGTGAGTAGTACTAGGTTATTAGTTCTTGATACTGGTGCTGTGAGTTGGGCACAGTAGTTCCTGGGACATTTGAGGTTATTTTTGCCACTGTATACGTGTATGTGGTTTTACATGGCCTACTTTGTAAATGTTTAATGTTAATCACTACCTCAGATTTCTGCTTAAAGACAGTAAGTCTCTGATACATTACTATATCAATTGGTGGTCTTCAAATTATAATGAATGATAAAACAACTATGCAAAGTATCCCTTACTTACTTATGAAAAATATTCCATATTGTCATCTCTGGCTTTCTCATGTGGGAGTATTACATAAAGTCATTATTAATGGCTACCTGATTTTCCTGCTTGTGGCTGAACCATGATTTACATATTCATTCTCAGCCACATAGTTTACTTCCAATTTGGCTTTTGTCTCTACTTTTGTTTTTTTGTGTTTATAAGGATGAGATCCTGGTTTAATTGTTTTGGAGTGCTCTTTTTTTAAATCAAGTTTAAAATATACCTCTAAGTAGTGAGTGTGAACATGTTTGTGTAGATCTTAAGAGTTTAACTGTAATGTCCACTTTTATTTGTTCTATCAGTGGAAATTCCTTCTGTGAGTATGACTTCAAGTGCCAGGAAGCTAGGGGAGCCAATTCGATCAGCCATTCCTTTACAGCCCCCCTACCACCCTTCAGAGTCTCGAGCACCCTGCCCCATTGGAAAGGAATATTTACATGCAACTCACTGCTCCTCTGCCATGAATTCTCCTGGAGAGCGCACGGCCCTGTCTGTGGTGAGTGGAAAAGCTTGCTTGCGTTTAGTTGGATAGAAGTCTGTATTTTTTATTTTTAAAATTTAAAATTAAAAACAAATTTTTGTAGTGTTCCCTCCCCTAAAGTCTGTATAAGAGGTCTCTGCCAGAATAGCAGTCGAGAGTATTCCATTAATCAAAGCATTGTATTTCTTCAAATCACCTCTGCATACAGCTGCTTGTTCTTGATCTAGGAAGATAGGGACAATATGAATGTAGGAAAAGGGAACTCATAAGACCCAACACATACTATTTATTTTATGCCACGCATAGGCCTGGATACTTGACAGCTATTGAGTGATCGATGGCTCATGACAACTCAGGTGGATAGTCTTCTTTTCCTTGGGGAAGCATATGTAGACAGGGTAAATATCTGGCCTGAGATCACACTGTGAACTCAGAGCTCTGACTTCAGAACCCATGTTGTATGTCATTAATTAATTTAAAAAAATGTTTAATTCTAAGGAAGTATGGAAAAGAATATAAGAATTTATCTTCCCACTATCTAGAATTAACCACTAGTAATCTCTTGGCCTAAGGAGCTCTGGTGGCATAGTGGTTAAAGCATTCGGCTGTGAACCCCTTAGCTGCTCTGTAGGAGAAAGATGAGGCAGTCTGCTTCCATCAATTCCAGTCTTGTGGGAGGAGAAGGGAGGAGTCACTGTAAAAATCTAACCAAAAAAAAAAAAAAGAATTACAGCCTTGGAAACTCTATGGGGCAGTTGTACTTTGTCCTGTAAGGTCACTATGAGTCAGAATTGACTCACTGGCACTGGGTTTCATGTTTTGGTTTGGTATATGTGCTCTGATGGCACAGTGATTAAAGATTTAGCTGCTAACCAAAAGGTCAGCAGTTCAGACCCCCTAGCCCTCTGTGGGAGAAAGATGAGGCAATCTGCAGCCATAAAGGTTTACAGCCTTGGAAACCCTATGGGGCAGTTCTCCTCTGTCCTGTAGGGTTGCTGTGAGTCAGACTGGACTCGATGGCAGTGGGTTTGATTAATTCTTGGCCTGTTTGTCTCTACTCTTCTTCTTTGAAAAAAAGTTCCCTTTTTATATAGTCAGCCTATCCCCGCTTCTGTAGAAACAACAGGCAGGTGTGTGCAGAGGGTGAATTTGTAAACAATTATACAATCTCATTTTATATGTGGAGAGAGAGCAAGAGAGAGAGAGACAGCGAGCTTTGGTGGTGCAGTGCCTAAGGCATTTGACTGCTAACCAGAAGGTTGGAGGTTCAAGCCCACCAGCCACTCCACAGAAGGAAGACTGGGCAATCTATCTATCCACACAAAGTATACACACACACACACACACACACACACACACACATCAAACAATATAGAAAAAGTACAAAGGTGAAATAAGCACCATCAGCATTAGGTGACCATCACTATAAACATGCTATGCATCTATTGGATAGGAATGTTAATGGATAGGAGAGAGAGAAATGGGTTCAGAGGATAATAGTTACTTTTGACAGGTGATAGGGGGATGGTAGGTGGGCTTCTGAATTGCTGCTAGTGTTCTGTTTTTTGACGGCAGTTAAATGGGAGTATTCATTTTGAAATAATTCATTGAGTTTTATACTTTACGTTCAGTAAAAAGTTTTTTAAAATAAGATCATATTATAGTTGCGGTTTACTGAAAGATATTACATTTAATTTTACTTTAATAGAAAATACTGACGTGAAAAGGAAGGGCTCTTTAGACATCAAATGAACAGTCTTCACTATAAGAAATACTTCCCAAAAGATTCTGTCCTCTAAGCTTCTGGAAATAAATTACTAAGAATGTTAAGAGTTTGTATTCATATTTTGGGAGGTTTCTTTAACTGTTTCAATTTTAGATAGCGTACATTGACTTCTTGACAAAAGATAATGATATGGCTACACCGGGGAGTCAGTCATCTCTCTCATTGTCTAGGTGTAGCTGTAACCTCTGTCTTTCATTGTTGAGAACAGTTGCCTTTATATTTCAGTGGAATCTTGACTTGCTATATTCTTCCCACACCACACTTTTTCTCAGCACAGGTTTGTAGACGTTGCTTTATTCCTTTGTGATTGGGTGTCAATGGAGTATTTTGACCAGCACATGTGAAAACAAAACATGGAGAATGAAGGGACCTAGCTTTGTGCCATAGGTCCCCACATGCACACAGACATGAAAGTTCTTTCTTTTATGTGTTTCCTTTGTAGCTTTCTGAAATCTTTTTTTTTTTTTTTTTTTTAATAGGAACCAGATACTGTTTTCTTAACTTCTAAGTTGCCTAAAAATAGCAAACTGGGGATGTGCTTACCTCAGGTCCAAAGCCCCAGGACAAGGAGGCTTCCCAAAGGAAAAAGGTAACATTGCTGCAAGTTTCAGTGTTGGTAATCTGTTTGAAAAGAGATTTGAGGAGTAAAGGGTATATACTCCAAATTTATCTATAAAACCAGTGTAAAATATATATAGTTTTTTTAATTTATTGTGATTTGTATAGAAGTTTACAGAGCAAATTCACTTTCCATACAGCAGCTCACATATACTTTGTCTCATGACATTGACTGAAGTTTTCCACAATGCAACAGTTCCCCTCCCACTTCCTCCCCCTAGTTACCTCTTCCCTGTGTCCTTCCCTCCCATGCACTCCTGCCCCCTGAGCTGTCTCCCTGTGCATACACTGCCCTTCTGTTCTCCCATGATTGAGCTCTCCAAGGAGTGTGTCTACGTGATGTAAATATTCAGCTCATGTGCCTGTCTTTTATTTGGCTGGAAGCCACAGGAGTGGGTTCATTTCCAGACCCAAAGGGCAGCTAGGGGCCATAGTCTCAGTGGTTCCATCAGGCTCTATCAGACCAGCCAACCTGATCCTTTTTTTTTTAATGATTTTGAGTTTTGTTCCACATTGTTCTCCCACTCTATCCAGGATCTCGTACATAGATCTCTCTCTGAGTAGTTGACAGTGGTAGCTGGCTACCATCTTGTTCTGGTCTTATAGTTGTAGTACAGGCTGAGGATTGCATGGTGTACCAGTCCCTTGGACTAATTGTTTCCATGTGTCTTTGGTTTTCTTCACTTTTCTTTGCTCTGGATGAGGGGAGACCCTTTATTGCATCGAGGTGGCTGCTTGCAAGCTTTTAAGATCCTAGTCACTACTCGCCAAAGTAGGATGTGGAACAAAGTTTTTGTGTAGCATGTTATGCCACTTGAGCTTGATGTCCCCTGCAACTGTGGTCCTGAGCCCACAGGTCCTACTCACTCCCTCTGGGTAGCTGGCTGTGGCCAAGAAGTGACTACAACCTTGTCCCTTGTCAGCTCTACTATATACCTGGGAATTCTTACAGAACATACAAATACACTTGTAGAAACATTGTCTGCCAATCTGTACATGGTCTTGGGCACACTCCTCCCTACATAGACATACCTATTCGTTCAGCCTGTCAACTCATCTATCCACCCGTATATCAATGTTTGCCTTCACTGATAACGCAGTACTACTGTATGTGCAGAAGGGTTCGTCTTTGTTGTCTGTACCTCCCATGCACTTCTCTGTTTTCCCTCTTCCTCAATACCCTTCTCTCAGTATGAAATATTTTTTAAAGCATGTATTATAGTTATTTTGAACTATGGAAACTTGGGTAGTTAACTATCACATGGCTACTTTCATTACAGATATGAGAACAGATCTGCAATTTCATCATGGGATTCACCTTCTCCCCAGAGGCTAAGAAGGAAATTAACAGAACAAGAACTGCACGCAGTATCAGAGAAACTCTCCCAGCGCCTCTCTGAACTAGACTCGGTAAGTTTTTTTTTTTTTTAATCTATATTGAGATTTTCATGGGCTGGTGAGCATTTAAACAAAGGTGAAAGCTTAGCTTAAGGTGTTGGAAAGTGAGCTGTGTTTTAGTTACTGTGACAGTATTGCTAAGTCAAGCAGGTAGGACATGGCGTGAACAACAGTATCCTAGCCTTTCATGATAAACCAAATTTGGTACAGATTTATCCAAACTTTACTGAATGTAGATTAAAACTAATTTAATCATCTGATGTAAGTTTTTATATTAAGCAGTTTGTGTTTAGGTATATCTGTGCATTTCCCTTTGTCACTAAAGACAGATTAGGTATAAAATTATGCCACAATGCTAAATCTCTCAATTAGTTCCAGTAGATTTTTGACTAAGTCTCTTGGGTTTTCTAAGTATAGCATCATATCATCAGCAAATAAGGATAGTTTGATTTCTTCCTTACCAATTTGGATGCCTTTGATTTCCCTTTCTTGCCTTATGGCCCTGGCTAGGACTTCCAGTACAATGTTGAATAGAAGTGGTGATAGTCGGTATCCTTTTCTGGTTCCTGTTCTCAAGAAGAATGGTTTCAGTCTCTCTCCATTGACAATAATGTTGGCTGTTGGCTTTGCATGTTGTTGTTGTTGTTATGTGCCGTCGAGTTGGACCCAACTCATAGTGACCCCTCCTTGGGTTGCCAAGGCAGTATCACTACAGAAGTAGATTGCCCCATCTTCCTTCCGAGGAGTGGCTGGCGGATTTGAACCACCAGCCTTCTGGTTAGCAGTCAAGTGCCTTAGGCACTATGCTACCAGAGCTCCTTGGTTTTGCATAGATGCCCTTTATTATGTTGAGGAATGTCCTTTGTGTTCCTATTTTGCTGAGAGTTTTGATCAGGAATGGGTGTTGGATTTTATCAAATGTCTTTTCTACATCAATTGATATGATCATGTGGTTCTTCTCCTTTGTTTTATTAACGTGGTGGATGACGTTGATTGTTTTTCGAATGTTGAATCATGCCTGCATACCTGATATGAATCCCACTTGGTCATAATGAATGTTCTTGATATGTTGTTGGAGTCTGTTGGCTAGGATTTTGTTGAAGGTTTTTGCATCTATAGTCATGAGGGATAGGGAGCTCTAGTGGCGTAGTGCCTAAGGCACTTCACTGCTAACCAGAAGGCTAGTGGTTCAAACCCACCAGCCATTCCTCAGAAGGAAGATGGGGCAATCTACTTCTGTAGTGATGCTGCCTCAGAAACCCAAGGAGGGGTCGCTATGAGTTGGGTCCGACTCGACGGCACAAAACAGCAACAACATTCATGAGAGATATTGGTCTGTAGTTTTCCTTTTGAGTGATGTCTTTGCCTGGTTTTGGTATCAAGGTTATGCTTGCTTCATAAAATGAGTTAGGGAGGATTCCATCCTTTTCTATGTTTTGGAATAGTTTGAGTAGGATTGGTATCAGTTCTTCTCTGAAGGTTTTGTAGAATTCTCTGGTAAAACTGTTTTGGCCTGGACATTATTAGTTGGTAATTTTTCGATGACCTGTTCAATTTCTTCTTTTGTGATGGGCCTGTTCAACTTTTCCACATCAGTCTGCATTAGTTTAGGTAAGTGGTGTGTTTCTAGAAATCTGTCCATTTCTTCCAGATTTTCAAATTTGTTGGAGTATGGTTCTTCGTAGTATCCTGATATTATCGTTTTTATTTCAGTTGGTTCTGTTGCGATGTCACCCATTTTGTTTCTTACTCGTGTTATTTGTATCCTCTCCCTCTTTTTCCTTTGTTAAATTTGCCAGTGGTTTGTCAATTTTATTGATCTTTTCAAAAAACCAACTTCTGGTCTTACTGATTTTTTCTATAGCCCTTCTATTTTCTGTTTCATTGATTTCTGCTCGAATCTTTATTATTTTCTTTCTTCTGGTGACTGTAGGCTTTTCTTGCTGTTCTTTTTCTAATTGTTGGAGATTGGTTTAAAGTGTTGATTTTAGCTCTTTCTTTTTTTTTGATGTGTGCAGTTATTGCTATAAATTGGCCTCTGATCACTGCTTTTGCTGTGTCCCAAAGATTTTGGTATGTTGTGTTTTCATTCTCATTTGATTCAAGGAATTTTTGAATTTCACTTTTTATTTCTTCTCTTACCCAGTCTTTCTCAAGGAGGGTGTTTTTTCAGTTTCCATGTGTTTACTCTTTCTGTTGATCTTCCTATTGTTGATTTCCAATTTGATAGCATTATGATCTGAGAAGATGCTTTACAGTTAGGTATAAAATAAGATAGATGGATCACTGATTCTCCCAAAATATAATATTACAGTTTTGGGGTATTAGTGAATAACTATACTGAATCTCTATGTGGCTTACTCTAAAGTGGATTGAAACTGAATAGTCAGTAGCGCTGATTGTACACTGTTTCAAAACTAAACATGCATCGGATCTGCAAACATGTTATTAGCATCTGATTTTTAAAGGAAACTGTTTAAAGGTTCCATCTGTCTACTTCTGCCAACTTGCATGCTGCAATCAATGAAAGTTGTTAGAAATAATTTTCTTAACAGATGTTAAAAAGTGCCCTAGGTGATCGAATTAAAGAAAAGACTGCAGATGAAGAGGAGGATGCTGGGAATGAAGAGGTGGAGAGAGGAAATGTTGAGACACTGTCTCAGCATAGTGACAGCATCATGGAGTGTTGGCCAAAGAAGCGAAGGCCAGGTACTTACCCAGAGATACTTACCCCAGAGATACCGATCCCAGGTACTTACCCAGAGACACTTATCCCAGGGATACTAATCCCAGAGGTATTAATCCCAGGTACTTCCTAGAGATACTTAGCCCAGAGATCCCTATCCCAGAGAGGTCTGAAACATATACATCTAAATAACCTACTTAGGCAGTTCTCATTTTTAATTTATTTTTTATTCACTTACTAAGTATTTCGGAAATGTATAAGAGCTTTAAAAATAGTTTCTAGCTAGCCCCCTCATCTCCACCATCGAGAAGCAGCTGATGTCATGAGTACATCTGCTTTAGGCCTTTTGTGTTTGAGAGTTGGAATCCTCTGTCCTGTCTACAGTCCTCTCTTTACTCCTTCAGTGAAACCACTGTCTCAAAGTTGGTCTCTTTTTCTCTGATCTGTTTTATACTTTAACAGCTTCTACATTATTTGTCTAAATATGCTCTTTTATGTTTGTAAAATTTACATAGATGCTACACGTATATTATTCTGTAACTTGCTTTCTTCTGTACCATTGTTTTCTACGTCTGTCGGTACTTACAGATCTAGTTCATTTTAACCACCGTGTAACTAAGTTTGTACGATGTACTCCATCACATGAGTAGGAATACTGCTTGCTATCTACCCCTGTTGCTGGACATTTAGATTATTTCCAGTTTATTATATAATCTTAGTATAAACAATTCTGCAGTGAACAGCTTGTAACATGTGCAAGGAATTTTGTAGCATCTACATTGTGTAGAATTGTTGAATCATGGTGTATGTACTTTTGCCATTTGACAAACTGCTCACCATGATTGTGCCCATTTACACTCGGATCAGTGTGCATGACACTGTCTGGTTTGCCACATCCTTTCAGATACTTGCTATTGTTTGATCTTCTGTTGTTCAAATCCAAATAGTTCTCTTGTCTTCCACCAACTAAAACTCTGCATGTTTTATCTCCTTGGTTATGTCATCCCTTGTTTCTCTAGAACTAGTCTTTTTCTCAATCTAAAACTTGCGTATCTTTTTCAGTTGTTTCTGTTCCTTTAAGAATACTGTCTTTCCTCCTCCCAGTTATTTCCTCTCTCCTCCCTTTCCCTGGCTAATCTCTAGGAAGCCCCACCGAGTAACCTCCAAGTACCACTTACTCTACACATACACCTGATACCGTTTTGAAAATACCTTGTAAGTTAAAATGTTATTTTAATTGGGTCTTCAGTTTCTAAAGAAAAACACGTTATAGATTGAGTTAAAATGTCATAAAAACATCTGTCCTTTAAAACAGATTATGCCAGTCAGTTTTCTTAGTAACTTAGAATTTAAACAAATTTGAAAGACTTAAATTAAGAGAATGAAAAAGGAAAAATAAAAGTGGTCAAGGAGTATTTGAATTTTCTGGGAAAGTTTACTTAGAAAGGTACCCAACTAATGTTCTCGGTCTTGGACACACACTGGCAGGGGCTTCCCTCTTCCTCTCAACTAGGAACATCTGCCAACTGTGGAACACAGGAAGGGTTGTGGAGAGATCGCTGGCAGTGAGGCATCAGGTGGGCTGAGTTACTGTGAAGGGGCAGTTGGGACTGCCTGCACGATGCTAAACTACATGAACTTTTGCTGCTTTCTAAGGATTTGTGAAATGGGTTTATATGTGTATGTCCCACCTGCTCAGGACCTAGATAAATGCAAGGACAGCAGACACACTTCTCAGGTGCTTTATCTTTTCTCTCCCGTCACCAAGAGCACCACCTGGTGCCCAGCAGCATCCCACATGTTGCTCCATTTTCAGCCTGAAGCTGAGTACAGCCCCTAGCTGCTGCTTCCTTGAGACAGTACCCGTTTGTGTGCCTCTGCCTGTTGAGTTGGTGGGACTGAACATGCAAACACACACAGGTTATTGGAGAAAATACATTTAGAAGATTCACCAATTCCTCCTGGATTTGTTAACAACTACTTGGTTTCTAACTTGATATTTCTGGCTGTCAGGGATGAATGGTGTGCGTCTCTCTGTATTGCAGGACTTGCCACACACAGAAAGCCACCCTGCAGATCCCGTTCGCTCTCTCCCTCTCCAGTGAACAAACACAGGCAGCATCACATGGAGAGAACAAAGCAGCGAAAACCAAAAGAAACAGATACCCACCGATTCCAAGCTAAGGTATGTCCCTAGTCGTCTACTGCTGTGGGGAGCAGATGACGCCATTTGCCCCCAGCTGGATGCGAGTGAATATGCTGTCGGGTAAAGGCTTAAAATGTATTTAGTGTTCTTGAACCAAGTGGATGATAGAGAAAATACGTGACATAGCTTTTGTCCTTCCATTAGGGGGCATAAAACTTGCACTCACGAAATTATAAAAAAAAGTAACTTGGTCCAGTGGATTAAGAAAAACAAGAGTGGTGTGAGTTGGTATTTTTAGAGAGCTTTAGTGATGAAGGGAATCTGATGTGGATTAAATATGACAGGCCCCTTGAGCTACAGGTAGATTGAGAAAGTACCCCAATGGGCATAAGAGGTGGTGGTTAAGATTCAACAAGGAGAATGGTATGGTTACCAAGGAAAACTTTCTTCTGTGCAGTGGAAATTGAGAAATGTAGCATCGATTTAGGACACTTAATTTGCTGTACTATGTTCTGTTGTTGTTGTTGTTATTTGCCGTCGAGTCGGCCCCGACTCATAGCGACCCCTCCTTGGGTTTCCAAGGCAGTATCACTACGGAAGTAGGATTGCCCAACCTTCCTTCCGAGGAGTGGCTGGTGGGTTTGAACCGCCAACCTTCTGGTTAGCAGTCAAGTGCCTTAGCCATTATGCTACCAGAGCTCCCGTACTATGTTCTATAATGGTGAAAAACTGAAACTAATTCAACTGTCTTCCAGCAGTAGTTAACATCCACTCAGATAACATCAACTTCAATTGGTAGTATCAAAATAATGATTCAAAACTGGTGGAACAAAAATTATGCACTTGCAATTTCATTTTATGTCACTATTTCATCTTTGTTAATGCAGATATATGTTAGAGAGTGTGAAAGGAGCTAAAACAAAGTGAGTGAGCCTGATATCTTAGGGCTGGCAGGATCCTAGGTGAAGTTCTTTCATTTGTAAATGTTTTTAATAATATCATATGACCTTTACTCCACTAGGCCTTAACTGAAGCATTTGAAAGTGAACTAAGAAGAAACAAAGTTCAAGAGAATGTTGGACCTCTAAGGATAAATGAGGAGGAGGAGGACACAGTGGGTAAAAGTCCCCACTTCAGTGCATGCCGTTTGAGCCAATCAGTGGGAAGTCAGATGATCTTTTTAAAAGGGAAAAAGAATTAACAGGGCTTTAATCATTGGCTCCTTAGGAAAAGGCAGGATTTCATTCCATGATGGTAGGATTTTAACTCATTCTTCGAGTAGCCAGGTTGCTCAAATGTGGTTAAGAAAAACTAGCACATTCTCTTCCTACCCAAGACTTCCATCAGTCTTTAGGGGCTTCTCTTATTAGCAGTTCTCCAAGGTTTAAAAATAGTCTAGGCTGACAGAGTTACAAAGAGAGTAAGAGAAGGCATGAGAAAACGCCAGTTGCTCTATGCCTGGTTGTAAGAAAGCTAAAGCAGAAGTTTTCATTGGTTACAGAAATTAGGTGAAACCATGAGAAGTAAAGGACCGGGCAGTGTTTCGTTCTGTTGTACACAGACGGAGTCGCTATGAGTCAGAACTGACTCGACGGCACCCAACAACAACGGGAAGTATGCTTATTCTACAATGTTAATGAATAAAATGGTATAAAATACAGCATGGTTACAACTGAGCCTTTCTGTGATAATTTTTCAATCTATAGGGGAAAAGTTGATACAACAGCGAGAACCATTAATAGTGGTTACAGTTAGGGTGTGGGACTGTGGGGACTGAAACTTGAAAGATTCCATGTTTTCAATTCCAAGAGATGTCAGAGGCCAAAGGCTGCTTTTAGCTTACTCTGGAATATTAACCAGATTTCAGAACTTGGAAGTTAGGTGGTTTGGCTGCCAATTAGTTACCTGTTTTTGTCGATATTTAAGATGATGTATGAAAGTTATTAGACCTCTCTCATTTCTATTCTGTTTTGTATCTGCTTCTAAGGAAAAAATACACAGAGAAGCTGTTCATAAGGGAACGCCAAAACCTTGTCAGCCTTGGAAGATTTACTCCAGAAAAGCCACAACTCCAAGTTCAAGAGGTGGCTTCCCAAAGCCAAATAAAGCAGTTCCAAGTAAGAACCACAAAATTGTCCTTTATGGAAAACAGGCACCATTTGAAAGCATGTGCTACATTCCAAGGACACAGCACTGAAAACCAGCATGCACGTAGCTGGAGGTAGCTCCTCCTCTAGCACTGCCATATGGCTTGGGGCTCTGGAGAGCAGGAAACTCAGTGTCTCGGGCCCTGTGCGTTGGCACCGAAGAAATGCGAGGACTGCCACCTGCTGCGGTGGCAGTAGTAGTCACACTCTGTATTCACTCACTCTGGTCACCTTTCTGTTTCTGGGAAGTTGCTAGAATGAATGGGATGCTCCCAGGCAGGCAGGTGACTTGTACAGCTCCTATTACATTGACAATGAGGGTCAGAGTCCCAATACCAGGAGATCTAGGTCACATGAAAGGCCAGTCTGCCAGCTTCCCAGGTACATCCCTTTAGACAGGCTTTTTATTCTAAGCACATGCCTGCCAAGCAAGCTGGAGTCTTGTTTTCCACACAGTGCATCCACTCACAGGCACTGAGGCAGCCACACAGATGGAACAGTCTTTACCACACCAGCAGGTCATCAGTCAGAATGATTGAGCTCCTTTTTATCCTTACTAGCGGTAAAGGGCTTATTCCAGTCAAAGAAGGAATCCAGAATTATATATTTAGAATTGTTCTTTTCAGGATCAGAACCACATCATGTAGATAAACTAAGTAAAGGTGGGATGAGAGCACTTGTAAAAAGTTGTCAGCCAGTTTGTCAAATGAAGAACTTCTCATTTTACTTTGCAGTGAAAGTGTACGAACACAGTCTCCTGCCTCTGATGCTGGAGCACTTTCCATTTCTTTCTGTTTCTGGCCAAACACTAAGCAAAATGTGGAGACAGCAAATTGCACAGATTGAACAGCTCATAAAAGATGCATCTGGAGAAAATAGGTCCAAGAAGAAACTCCAGGATGAAGTAAGTTACTCTCAACTGTACAATAAGTAGGGATATAAACCACAGAGGAGGTAGCTTATCTTTGAGAACCTAGGGGACAACATCATTAACCTCCTCTGTGTCCCCCTTATAGATAGAAGAAGCCTTACGAAGGCATGACCTCCTTACTGCACTTGTCAAGAAAGAATATGAACATAACAAGAGACTGGTATGTCAAGAGCAAGTTGGTGTTAAAATTTGAAGAGGAGGGTGCTAAATGTTCTATGTACAGTTTCATTTAGTCTTTATCATAATGTTTCCTATGAAATGAAGAACCTGAGGCTGTGAGACGTTAAGCAACTTGCCTGAGTCCCACTGTAAGTAGGGGCAACACTGACCTAATTCAGGTCTGCCTCTGTATCTCCACAACCCCTTAAAGGTGCCAGGTGGTAGTAACTAGTGCTTTTGGCCCTCCCCCCATCTTTCTCAGGCCCCAGGTAGAGAGCTGAGTAGTTTGCCAGCTTCCGTTGTAATTTAGTGGGTGGTGGGTGGTTGGTGTTTCAGTGGTAGAACTGTGGCCTTCCCTGTGGGAGACCTGGTTTTGAGCCTGGGCCAGTGTGCCTCCTGCGCAGCCACCACCTGTCAGTGGAGGCTCGTGTGTTGCTATGATGCTCAACATCAGTGGAGTTTCCAGACTACAACAGAGTAAGAAGAGGGACTTGGCAATCTAAACCCAAAAAAAGAAAAACCAAACCAAACCCATTGAGTAGATTCCACCTTACAGCAACCCTACTTTTGAAAACCGGCCAGTGAAAACACTGGGTCAGTCACAGTAGTCCAATCCTCAGTCCGTCATGGGGAGGCCCAGGACCAGGCAGCATTTCATCCCGTTGTCCATGGGGTCAGCATGGATAAGGGCCTTAATCGATGGCAGCTCACAACTGTGGTTTGGATTGGGAATAATACTCAACATGTTCTCCAACGTTGAGTAGAATGGAGAGGCTAGAGGTCGCAGACACTGTGGCAAAGGAAGAAATTTTAAAACCTTTGATTGAGGTTGCAGGTGAGAGAAGCCACGAGAAATATAATTCTAAACAATTTCAGAGAAATAAGGCGAAGCTTGAATTCAGGAACGCATGTGGTGCTTTGGGAGGGTAGAAAAGAACAAAGAGCCTAGCACCTTGCTGGAGGTTTTATGTGCACACCTTCATCTCATCCTCACCACTTTGCAGGCACTGTGCAACTTCATAATGAAGAGACAGTTCAAAGGTTTATAAGCCCCCTTCCCACTGGGACGTGGGGAAAAACAGTTTGTGCAATCTTTAGTTTTGGCCTAATCCAGTACTGTTGGAAACTTGAGTCTTACTTGAGCGTATTTCAGAGTGCTGTTTTCTGACTTCTGTTAAGCTGGCATCTGGTGTGACTTACGCAAGCTCCCTGATGGAACAGGGAGGAGACCCTTGAATCTACCAGTAGTGCTTAGGATCACTGTTGCTGTCTGCAATGGGAGCTTATCAGGGCTGCCCCTCAGTCTGAGGACTGTCAAGCTGAGGGGCCTGCCAAAGCCTGGAGGACTTCTGGGAACCAGGTCTTTCTCCTTCTATGCCCAGCCAGGCGGCCACTGGCCTGAGACCTGATTTTTAATTTGAAGGCATCACGAGAGGGAGTAGGACAGATGGGAACCTTAGGGTCTGTCTGCCTCTTGTCCTTACCTCTCTTTTCCCTTTCGCAGCAAGACTTCAGGGATCGCATTAACAGGCAGAGGTTCACTCAATCAAAGATAAAAGAAAATCGGCAGCAAATTGTTCGTGCCCGCAGATACTATGATGATTATAGAGTTCAGTTGCGTGCAAAAATGATGAGAATGAGGACCCGGGAAGAAATGGTAAGTATGGTTTTTCTGTTTGGTCCTGTTAAAACTGAATTTTACAGTTCCATTTCAGAGTCTCCTTTGTGACTCTTGTCACAATTTGAATCCAACTTCAAATTCTGAAATGCAGATTGTGAAAGTTCTTTCTTGTTCATGCTTCTTTTTCTTACTCTTGTGCATCTCAGTCTATTCTCAGTTTCCACTGCTCTCATCTTCATGGGATGTCTTAATTCACTCTGACCTCTTGCACATAGGAACTGCCCAGTACAACTGTGAGAGGGGTTTGTGAGCATGGAACTTAAGTTGTGATTAGATGACTTAAGATTCCACATAAAATCAGGAAGAGTGAGAACAGATGTCCTGTGAGGTGTTTCCACAAGGTATTTGCTGTCTCATTGTCCTGATCAAGCTGAAATGTTTATCTTTTGGGATTCCAAAGTGGCAATAAATTTTCTCTCTACAGAAAAATACTCTAGTACTAACAGTTAACTGGATGCTCTGAAGTGGGTCCTACTATTGTCTTCATTTCCAGAGGACACACTGTAAAGCTTTCAGAGGTTAAGTAACTTGTTTAAGGCAATACAGCTAATCAATAGCATGGCTGTCAGAACCAGTTCTTCCATCAAGAATGGAAGACAAACCCTTTAAACAATTTGTTTGACTGTGGCCTAATCAGATGGCAGATATCTCACCCTCAGTTATGCACATGTGTGGGTGTAGCATTTGTTTCTGCTCTGGGCTCCTGTCCTGTATACATGGTTGATGGAGAATTCTTTTCTGAAAGCATCAAGAATCTTTGGGATACATGGAAAAATGCTCAACATCATTAGTCATTAGGGAAATGCAAATCAAAACCACAGTGAAATACTGATTTACGACCACCAGGATGGCTAAAATGAAAAAGACAGAACAAGTGCTGGCAAGGATACGGAAAAACCAGAACCCTCATACAGGGCTAGGAGGATTGCAAAACAGTGCCGCTGCTTTGGAAAACAATCTGGCAGCTCCTCAAGGTGAAACGGAGAGTTACCTTATGACCCAGCAATTTCACTTCTAAACATCCACAGAAAAACCTGTACATATGTTCATAGTAGCATTACTCATTTCAAAAAAAGGGAGAAACTACCCAAATGTCCAACAACTGATGAATGGGTAAATAAAATGTATACCCACACAGTAAAGTATTACCGACTATCATATATACAAAGAAATGAAGTGCTGATACATGCTCTAAAATGGATGAACTTTGAAAACAGTATGCTCAGTGAAAGCAGCCTGCTACAAAAGAACACATATTGTACGATTAGATTTACACGAAATGGCCAGAGTAGGCAAAGCTAGAGACAGAGATAAGTTAGTGGCGGCTGGACACTGGAGGGAGGAGAATGGAGAGTGACTGCTGATGGTCACAGGGATCTTTTGGGGTGATGGCTACACACCTATGTGCTTATACAAAAACTACTATACCTCAATAAAGCTGTTATTTAAAAAGTTGGCAAAATATAATCTGTGTATCTCTACTTAGGCAAAATGATATTCCTCAGTGACATTTATTTTTATGATTAAATAACAGATATTTAAGAAACTATTTGAAGAAGGTTTACAAATTCAGAAGCAAAGATTACGGGACCTCAGAAACTATGCTAAAGAAAAGCGAGATGAGCAAAAGAGACAGCACCGAAATGAACTGGACTCGATGGAGAACTACTACAAAGACCAGGTGGGCCCACTCACTTTACATCTTCATATGCTTAATCCTGACCACTGTGTAGACAGTCAACTTTGCTGAACAACGTCCAGGCAGAACTTTGCACTACAGGTAGACCACTTTACAGGCTGAAATTTAAGATTAAAAATAAAGCTGGTTCTTGGCCATAGTATAGCATCTATACTGCCCTACTTCCATTAAAGTAAAGATTTTAAGCCTACAAATACAAGATTTATTACACTTGGACTACAAACATTGACTGTAGGGTTTTTCTCTTCCCTGTAAACAGTTTTCTTTGCTGGCAGATGCCATAGCACAAGAACGTCAAGAACTCAAAACCAGAGAGAAATCCCAGGCCCAGGTAATAATAAACAATAAATCATTTATTTACATTTTTAGGAAATAGGAAACTGTGTTACCCAGTCTCAGGGGAGTGGAGAGAATACAAATTAAAAAAAAAAAAAAAGGGTCCATCTATGGTCTGAGACAATTATCTTGTGATTTTAACTTGACCTGTTCAAGTCTCTATGAAGAGCTGCTCAATTATTAAAATTATTGGTGGAGCCTGATGAGCAGGAAATTTGAGAGGGAATAAAAAAATGAAGGCCTGTATAAATGTGACTCACAAGGTGATGTGAATTCTCTTTTAGACACTGCACAAGGTGAAGAGAGAACTGAGGTCTAAGATGGAAAAGGAAATCCAGCAGCTGCAGAACATGATCACCCAGAACGACGACGACGCTTTCTTCCGGGAACTGGAAGCCGAGCGCTTCAAGTCCCGGCTTCACCTGGCTTCCTTTCAGTACAGTAGAAACCCCTTCCCCTGAGGCCTGCCTTCACCAAAAGAAGTTTCTGGAGCCCTTACCAGACCTGAGCTAGAAATGAGCCATTAAACAGCCTAAACCAGAAGAATCATTTTAAAATGCCTAATCTATGTATTCATTCTAGTACTTTGTATGAAATTTTTAAAAATAAACATTGTTTTCTTGAAGTTACTGCTCTTGAATTTGTAACTAAAACCTTCAAAGAGGGAACAGAGGCACACATTCTTCATTAGCCATATCTGAGTTAAAAGCAATTAACAAGCCTGGCCTTTTACTATGTTGTTGTTATGTGCCGTTGAGTCGGACGCAACTCATAGCAACCCCTCCTTGGGTTTCCGAGGTAGTATCACTATGGAAGTAGATTGCCCAACCTTCCTTCCGGTACAATAGGTCAACAAAAATGGGGTGTGTGTGTGTGGGGGTAGCAGTTATGACCAAATAAAAACACCTAATTCATTAGCTTCCAAATCCAGCCTTGCTGAAACATGTTTTATTTGGGATTTCAAGCCATTCAGACCTTCATCCAGCTGATTTGAGAGATGTGAGTACTCTCTTATCCTAAAAACATAACACTTGAACTGCCTTAAAACTTTTTTGTCCTTCTGGTTCTTCATTTTATCTATTTTTTTTTTTTGGGGGGGGTTCTTTTTGCCATTATCAGTATCACAATCTTTAGAAGACGTGAGTGGTCTGAAAAGTTGATTCCGATAGGCCCTCTCATCTCCACTCCCACTTGCTGGGCTGAAGACATACAAATACATACGTAAGTGGGCAGGACACATAGGGTTCCTCACCCACCCTATGGGCTGTTAAGGGTACCTCCTCACTTCCTTCACTTAGAGAGCTGTGTGAGAGAAGTGGGGTTTTATAACTCATGTTAGATACTGATGCCCTACCTAAATCCTAGCCCAAATAACTAAAAAAACTGTTGCTAATTGGCAACAGTTGAGCAGATGATCGGGAACTACAGCCTCCCCTTCCCACAGTAACAAGCAGTAATGAGGCCAACAACTGTATGAACACAGACAAAGGAGGTGCTACCTGTCCTAAAGTGAGCGACCAGCTGCCTCTTGTGCTGGCAAGTCTGGGATGTGGGGTACTTAATCTTGTGCACCCATCACAACTGACTGCTTTGTACCCCCCCCCCCATTAAATTCTGAGTACTGAGTCTGAACTTCAGCCTTTACCAAGACAAAGGTCAAAAGCACTCATCTGGAAGTTCAGTTTCCAAGAACCATCCAAAGTTGTATCCCTATCAGCTTGTACACAGTCTGGCATGTAACAGGAGCACAGTAAGTATCTGTTACATGAACAGAAAGTCGTATTTAGGCAAATCCTTTTTTTTAAAATTGTGATTTGGGTGAAAATTTAGAGAGCAAATTCACTTTCCATACAGCAGTTAACATATACTTTGTCTCATGACATTTGACTACAATTTACCCCAATGCAACAGCTGCCCTCCCACTTCCTCTTGATAGTTACCTCTTCCCTGTGTCCATCCCTCCATGCATTCCTGCCCCCTGAGCTGTCTCCCTGTGCATAAATAGTAGGGCAAATAACTTTTAAAAGATTAATAGCAGATGATGTATAAATGAAATCTGGTTTATCTAGTTTGCTGAAAGTGTTAACAGGAATGTAATCCTACTTTTGGTGTAATTATCCCTTTATCCTGTTACTAGGCTTTTGGTCTATGTCCTATCTTGTTTTGTGTAAATCCTATCGTGCACATATGGGGTATAAAGTATGAATAAATGCCATCAGTAACATGGTTAACATTCATTATAATGAAGGGACAGACTTTTCTGGTCACCACAGAGTAGAAAACTTTCAACTACAGAGTAGTCAACACTTGTAGGTAATTTAAAGGCCATTACAATACTAAAATCCTTAACGTTCTGTAACTTTACAAATTTTAGATAATAAGCAGTCAATATGGGCATATAAGACAAAGCAAAGCCAAAGAAACTTTCAAAAGGATATAAAAATGGACACCAAGCCCACTCCTTGAACTTTAATCCACTGCTACTTACACTGTTTCCCCAGCCATGATTCCATTCTGTTGTGTACCTATACTCTGGATGGAAAAAAATACAATATTTATTTATGCCTTTTCACTCAGGTAGTTAGCAACACTCATGGATTCTCATAGACAGAGGTGGGAATCATGAACTATAAAGCCCACGATTTCACTAATCAACACTAAGGTAGAAAAGGCAAGTACAAGGCCCCTGTACCTGAGCTCTGTCCTCGAGAGGCCTGAAAGACACTGCTGTAGGACTGCAATGCTCTTCCCCACTAAGCCTGGACTGGCCTCAGAAAAGCATCTCCATAGAGTCTCCAAACAGCCACTGGCCAGCTGCCATGGCCGGCAAGAATGAGCATCTTTCCTGCTCTACACAGGGACAGAAAGGGTTGGGAGCTCCCTGAAGCTCTGCTGTGCGACATGGGCATCGAGCGGAGCTGACATGCTTCCTCCTGAACTTCCCTCTGGCAGATGGCATGCTGTCACCCTTCACAGAGCCAGTAACATTTCTGGAAACAATGCATTACAAACTCAATGTTCTTTAAAAATCCTGATGCTGCGACAGTGCAAACAGCATTCACTTTATTGCTCAACCTCGGCATGGGCAAGTACATAGTTAATTTTTAAAAACCATTTATACAGATGTTATGATAAAGCTCATGTAACAGCTGAGTGGAAATACAAAGAATATCAAAGCTAAAACACTCTGTAATAAATACAAATACAATGAAAACAATAAAACTTTGTTTTTTAAAGTCAGTTTGAAAGAAGGAAGAATATTACATTAAGTGAACTAAATACATCTGGAAACAAAACAACTCAGCATTTGGTACAATCATCATCCTCACATAAGAATGTTCAATACCACAAATGGTACCCGTTGATTGTAGGCTGCAGCTTCAAAATGAAGCAGAAAGCGCTGCTCTACCAAATCGGAAAGATGGCTGGGCCAGCCTAACTTCCAGCAATGCAACCAGCTCAATGCACCACAAGTTCAAATCAGATTTAGTGTTGTGAACAGAAGAAACATTACATCATTTTTAAAAGAAGGGAAACTTGTGCTCTGGTCTGTAAATACAAGGAAGAAGAGAGAAAACAAAAAAGACTCGGTAAAAATAAAGCCCACTGAGGGCAACAAACTATGTGCAAAACAAATGTACACTATACACAGCACTATTTAACAACTGTTTACACCAGGAAATGAGACCCTCCAAAACAAAACTCACCTCCCTATTCCTAAGAGCTCTACAAGATAATGACTGTTCTTAATTAGGCATCACGATGAAAAGGCAAGAGCATGGGAACGCTGACACTCCATTGCCTAAATAACACAGCTACAGAGGATGGATAAGAAACCACCAGGTAAGAGGGATATGTGGAAATAAATATTCACATTACACGTGAGGTGCAAGTCCAAGGTTCAATGACACTGGGGTCTTTTGTTTGCTGAGCACCTATTTGAAAGTAATCAGGTAATTCTGAAATGGAAATTTAAATCATTATGTTGTTATAAATCATGTAGGTGATACCACAGACTGGTAGCAAGGGTAATTTATTTCTTTTAAAGCTCTATTTAAGAAATCATTATTAAAAAGTTAAAAAGGCACTCAAAAAGTGGTATTTGCCTGCCCTATATTGTACATTATAATAACTGATAGTAGCATTTCATCATTACTGCATCTGTCAGTCATGACTTCTATAAAATGTTGCTCACGTCCTTTCTGCGGAAGGATTAAGTATAGGCACAATTATAAACTGCACTAAAACCAAACCCAGCCTACTGCCATCGAGTCGATTCCGACTCACAGCAAACCTATCGGACAGAGTAGAACCACCCCCATAGGGCTCCAAAGTAGTAAATCTTTACAGGAGCAGACTGCCTCATCTTTCTCCCATGGAGCAGCTAGTGGGTTCAAACCACGGACCTTTGATTTAGCAGCAGAATGTTTTAACCACTGCACCACCAGAGCTCCTCCAAACTGCACTAGTGCTTTCTTTAAAGATGAGCCTGCAGCCAATAAGGTACTGTTGTGAAAGCTGAGAACTAGTGATGATCAAATAGTATAGAAACCATTTATGTACATTTCAAGATTTCTTCATTACTACCAAGAACGAAGTAGGTAAGAAAACAACGTTTGGGAAGAAAAAGATCACTGTAAGCACATTACACAGTAAACTACAGTTATGCCTAAGACTAGCTTATAGCAAATTTGGCCAAGTGAAATACATTTAAACACTTAGAAACTACATAGGTAGTTTCCAACTTTCCTTTAAGCAGCAAAATCTCCACCTCTGTTACTCCCTCCTCCTTCGCCTCCCAGTGAAAGCTTACTTGGAATCCACTACAGAAGAGAAAGATGACCTGCTCTGAGTACTAGCTGGGGGCTTAGAGGCTCCTGCTAACAGCCACTGAGGCCCCTCGCCTCTTCCTCTCTCCTCTCAAACCTTTACTCCAGAGGCACCTCTGAGGAACCCTTTGGTTCCAAGGAACACAGATAGAAAACCACTCTATGACATGAAATAGAGCACAAAGGGCGTATTCACCTGATAATTTAAAATGCAAAACTGAAACAATTCTACCTCATCAAAAATTGTTATTCTTGATTATTTCACATCAATACAGGAAGAAGAAAAAAAAAAGAAAAATAGTGCAGATCTGTGATGGCTGAATTTAAAAATCCACTCATGGTTTCAGATGCTTCTAATCCCCCAGACAACCACCCCAGAGTGCCGGCTGTCTCCTGGATCGTGTAACACGCCACACCTCTGGATATTCCAGATCAGATGTTGGTCTGCAAACACAAAAGGGACTGGGACCATTACTTCCAAAACTAACTCTTCAGTTAAAAGTAATTCACACCACAGAGTTGAATCACTATCTCTTTAGTAACCATACCCCCACCACCTCCACCACCTCCACCATTTTACATCAGGTAAAAGCAGGGCAAAGTTTGCTAAGCAAACGTTAGTGAATTTTTCC